CTTGCTTTAATTTGAATCTTGACTAGGGCTGAACGAACAAAATCGCAAAATCGGATCGAAAATGTTGTTTTGATAGCGTCGTTAATGTTTTCATTTTCAATCGAACCAAACTGTTTAAAAATTATTTGATTTACATAATTTTTTTGTTTAAAAGCATTTGAAAATAAACCAAACCCGTTGACATAATAATAATAATAATAATAATAATAATAATAATAACAAATCATGGGTATTTTGTGGTATCAGATTTTTTCATGTTACTTTCTTTCATTTTCTTGATAAGAAAAGATGATAGGAATGAGATGGGACTGCATGATATTAGCACTTGTTTGGTAGAATTTTTTTTCGTATAGACTCTATGAAAGTGAGTTTTTTTATTTTTTTTTTCTGAAAAATGATTGACTAAAAAGTAAAGAAAAGTTATGAGTTCATGTACAAAATTATTTTACAAAGAGAATGTATAGCTAAAATGAGTTTAGGAAAATGAAAAAATCGTGGTTTAATGTTTTGTGGGTGTAAACTAGTTAAGGATTATAATTAGGGGGAAAAAATAGATGGGAAATCAAGTAAAAAAGAAATTAAAATTTGCCTTTTTTAAGAAAATGGAATAAACACAATTTTTTTCCTCGCGTGTAAAAGAGTAGAATTGTTCAAATGTTAATTTTGAGTATAAAAGTGTCGTATTTATCTCAATAGGTGAGCTTTTAGGTATGACAACCGGACGGGTAGGGTTCACGTGGGTATATTCGTCCTATCAAGTATTTTTGTCTTCTTATCACATCCTAATACTCGATTAAGACGGTACGAAATCAGGATCGAGGTGGGGGAGGCTTGTTGCAACCATTCCCTTTTTTTTTTTTTTTTCATTTTTGTCATGTCTTCGTTTGGAGAAAATCATTACTTTTTTTTCAACTTACAGAGCAACACATTTTTCATTTAGAAAAGATGATTCCTTTTTATTTTTATTTTTTTCGTATGATAAAAACTTGTGTTTTGAAATGAAATTTAAACGGGACGGGAACCATGTTTTCCATATTCACATCACCCCCACCTCGGGGCAACGACCCCCTCTGGAGCCCCACCCTCGCATACTCGATAAAATGGGAAATCACCGTCCAATTCAGGACTCGGGTTTAACGATTTTTTTTTCGTCGTTTGTAAGTGTGATTTGAAATAAAGTGCGCAGTCAAAATTAATTTGATCTAGTTGTAATAAATATCCCTTATTTTTGGTGGGCACGATGTAGACCTAATATCCAATATGGGACCTATGATTAGGTTATGAAGTGATGACTATGGGGATGAGCTTGTATTTATGGTCTGGTTGGCAATGGACCTTCATCTGCTTCTGCATTATTGCTTTCAATTATTGACCTGTTACATTTTTCTTGTGCACCCACCACATCCCTCTTCCCCCACACTTTTTCTAACTTTGGTCTGCAAATTACTCGACAATGGTATACCAGTTTAGTGTTGTTTACGATTGTATGAGATGGTTTTCGTCTATAAATCGGTAGGGGTCTACTCAAAATCCCGTAGATTGCAGAAAAAGTTGAACGATTATTGCAACATGCAAACTTCACTGTAATTTATGGATTATACGATCGATATGTCTCATATTAATGATACAAGAGTTTAGATCATAATAGTACTAGTTCAACTTGGGTGAATCATTAGAGCGATCATTCCGCAGATTAAAAATTTCAACCTGGGTGAATCTTAATCGTAGAAGTTTAAGTCCTATTTTATGTATGGAGATGTGGTTTGTGTAGGTTAGGAATACCTCGATTATGTTTGCACGTCCATGTGCCCGGTGCCGGTGGTGTGACTTATTCGAACTAGGAATATCTCTATTATGATTGTGCACTCATAAAATGTCAAGCAGGACAAGAATGCACAATCTCTTTTTGAGTAGTAGAGTTTACTACTTTTGACTAGATGTTTGACCAAATGAGTTACTATATATATATCAGTGTTCTAAAAGGCGTAATGCGTGACGATGCGTGGAGGCCAATCCCAAGGCTAGGCGAGCTTAGGCGAGGTATATGCATAAAAAAAGCGTAAAAAGGCTTTTTCTTATTTTAATATTATTTTAATTTTTAATCAATTAAAAATAATACTTACTAAATATTTAAAATAAATTTATAGGAACTTTATACATTTTTTTCAAAGTTTTCAACAAAAATATAAGTTTCGAATTTAAATACAAAATAGTAAATAAATAGCATAGGAACTTAAATTTTATCTAACTCTTTATCGGATTCCAATTCAATAACATCTTTTTCATCTAATTCATCCTCCGTATCTTCTGATACAAAATCATCTTCGTCAGGCTCCCTTATATCATTTTCCATCCCATATCACAACCATCTACAATCCCAGATTGTGCATTAATTGCATACTTGCTAATAGAGTCTCTATTTTGCCCTTCCTCCTCTATTGATAGACTTTATTTTTCAACACTGGACGAGAGTGTGCATTTTTATTTTTGAGTTTTGGTTCAAATTCGATAAGTAAATAATTTTTCTTTTAATAACTCGGGTGTCTTAAAAAATTACCTATCGTAAATAAGATTCGTTGATCACTTGACTTTTGAGTTCAAATGGTTGTTTTAATTTTAAATTAGGGCAAACTGAAGAACTTAGCATTTAATAATTTTTAATTTCAAAAGAATTGTAAAAAAAAGCGCGCATTAGCGGTCAACAATTGTCTTTACCGCCAAATAAGATGCAAACCTATTAGGCTTGGCATTTTGGCCTCGCCTCATGCCTAAGTGGCCGCTTAGGCGCACCTTTTAGAACACTGATATATAATTGCAGCATAGC